GACGTGCATTACTCTCACACAGGGGAGCGAGGTCCAGGGAGTCAAAGCCTGACTCCCAAGCCTGGCCACGGGCTGGGCTTGGGGAGTAGAAGAACTCCCAGAACCCCATCAAGCAGGTAAGTCTAACCCAGCTCTCCCACTACCCAAGGACATGACCAAATCGTACTCAAGACGGTTCCACAAAAGCTCATTTTCTGACTGTCAAACCGTATATAGCATTAGATTACGATGCATTAACTCGCATTACTCTTGGGTTTTGCTCGATTAGGCTAGGATCGGTAACATTTTAAAATCGGTAGGCGAACTGTCCTATGTACAATGTGACTTCTACTTATGTGTACAATGTCTTCTAACACACGAGACAGAGGCCTTAACATAACTTAAAACCAATATTAAATTGGCCCCCCCCCCCAAGTCAAATTTATTATAATGACAATGTCAACAGTACTTAGTATATTCTGTTTTGGCATGTCATTAATGTACTGTATGGAAACTCTCCCAATTACAAGTGTACTACTAATTATGAATAAAAGTACTGAAATGAATATGCCCATTGTTTCTCGCCGGCGCCTGGGATCGAACCCAGGACCATAGGATCACAAGTCCAGTGTACTGTCCGCTCGGCCGACCGGGAGCCGGTCGGCCGACCTAACCTACAGAGTCCACTGCAAGATTGAAAATGTGTGTGTAGCGCACTATATTAGTCGAGACGACGGGTTGTTGTTGTTGTTATAGGTGACGGAAAAATTGGTATATGAAAAAGATCGGGTAGTTTGTGTTGTGATCCGCCTTTTTCTCCAAACACATAGACCTTGTTCCGCTATATTTGGTAAATGTACATGTGCGTATATGGCAGGTGTGCATGTGTGCACATGTGTTTGCATCACTATACATGTGTCAATATTAAGGCGTCCCTGTACATACCAGTTGCGTTGCTCCTGGGAGTATGGGTTCGAGTCACTTCTGGGGTGTGAGTTTTCAGTTGTATATAGTCCTGGGGACCATTCAGGCTTGTTTGCATGTGTCAATATGTATGCGAGTGCATATGTATATATTTCCGTTACAGTACAAAGGCAGCCAGTGCATAAATTGCCACTCACCTGTTGCCTAGCCAAGGTGTTTCTTTGTGGATGTAAACAATGTGTGCCAAGGTCAGAAAGGTGTGAAATGCCACCCACACCTGTAATAGGTGGGACAGTGGGCGCGTATGAGGAGTGTTTTGCAGGCAGCGCAGCCTGGCTGAGTGAAGTAGTGTGGGTGAGTGGGGGTGGTGGGTGAGTGGGGGTGGTGGGTGAGTGGGGGTAGGTGGGTGAGTGGGGGTAGGTGGGTGAGTGGGGGTAGGTGGGTGAGTGGGGGTAGGTGGGTGAGTGGGGGTAGGTGGGTGAGTGGGGGTAGGTGGGTGAGTGGGGGTAGGTGGGTGAGTGGGGGTAGGTGGGTGAGTGGGGGTAGGTGGGTGAGTGGGGGTAGGTGGGTGAGTGGGGGAGGTGGGGGGGCGAGTGTAGTAGTGTGGGGGGGACAGAGTGCGTGTGGGGGGGACAGAGTGCGTGGGGGGGACAGAGTGCGTGGGGGGGGGCAGAGTGCGTGTGGGGGGGGACAGAGTGCGTGTGGGGGGGGACAGAGTGCGTGTGGGGGGGGGACAGAGTGCGTGTGGGGGGGGGACAGAGTGCGTGTGGGGGGGGGACAGAGTGCGTGTGGGGGGGGGGGACAGAGTGCGTGTGGGGTAGGGGGGACAGAGTGCGTGTGGGGTAGGGGGGACAGAGTGGGCAGACAGCCAACTCAAGTGGTTGGCAAGGCAGTGGTAACATGAGCTAAGCGGACTGCTGGAACAGAGGGTTGAGAGAATGAGCATGAGGGAAGGCTCCGAGGCGGCGTGAGTCGGTGGGTGTGTGTGTTTACATCTTAGTGAAAGGTTGTGTATGAGCTTGTGGGGTCGAAGAGGGTGGACGAGCGTATGTAGATTGATGTACAATGTTGAAATGTGGTGGGGTTGGTCGGTGTGGTTTGGTGGTGGGAAGTCAGTGGAGGGCTGGTGGAGGTGGGCGAGGGTAGGTGAAAGCATGAGTGGGTTTGGGCTGGTTGGTTGGGCTGTACCTGGATTGTAACCTGGAGGGGCTCTGGGAGAAGTTCTACTCCCCAAGCCAGGTCTGGGGCCAGGCTGACAGCTTGGTCCAACACTTGCTTGGAGCAGCTGCAGGCCCACATGTCCACCTGAGACCGGTTGGTCCGGCACTTCTTGCAAGAAACTATTTTTTTTCATGAATTCCACTCTTGTTCCGACAATATTTCTAATGCTTGCTGGGTGGACCTCTGATGTTCATTCAGTGTTCTCTGATTTTGCCTATGACGCCTTTACTCTTCACTGGTTCTATTCTGCATTTCCTTCCATATCGTTCACTCCAATATTATTATTATTTTACGGTGCAAATTTGGGATCTAGCCCTCTAGTAATTTTTCACGTATATATTTATGCATGATGGTTTATCGTGTGTGTTGTGTATGTTCTCTGTATTCCCACTAATTTCAGTAATCTCTCCTAATCTAAAGAGGAAAGCGAGTATCGAACAGTACTCTACGCGGGACAGCACCAGTGATTTGAATAGTACAACCATTGTGATGGGATCCCTGGATTTGAAGGCTCTCGTAATCCATCCTATCAATTTCCTGGCTGACGCTATATTTCCTTGGTTATGCTAAGCGCTTGGTCGTTAGACCTCATTACTCCCATAATCTTCACGTGTTGCTTTCCTACTAAGGGCAAATTTGATCGTGTCTTGTATCATGTGTTTAGTTTAAAGTCTTCAGTTTTACCATACCCAAGTACCAGAGTCAGGATTCTGCAAGCATTTACGATTCGTCTTAGAAACCTGTACATTTTCTCTCAATATTTGTCGGCTTTAGTTTCATTTACTGAACAGTTTACGAGCATTGAAACTTCCCAATCAAATAATATTTTTTATAAACAAGTACCTTTGTTTATAACTTAGTACTTCGGAGCTGATTTAATATTGTTTAATACAGTATATATAAACTGCTTAACTGTTTAATATATATGCATAAAGCCGCTAAAGACAGAGAAAAGTCATACAGGTTCGTAAGTACTTGCGTAACTGTTTGATGAATCCGGTCTCTGGAATTTATCACTGCTAAATATTATGATATTTTCTGCTCTCCAATCGAAATCTTTATAAATAATCAGCTTGTAGTCTGTCTGTCTTCTACAGAAGTAATTTTTTAGCTGATTTTTTGTCTCAGTCTGCAAAACACGACACGAAACTGACGTTTTTGTGTCTATATCTGATATGAGAATTGGAAAAAGCAGCGGTGAAAGGACTGTGCCCAGAGGTACAGAGCTCTGCGCCTTGACTATTTTATTTGATTGACTGTTACTCTTTGCTCTCAGTTTCACAAAATTTAATATACGTCGTCCTATTTTACCTGTTATTACTATAGGCCTCATTTTATGGGCTATCATCTCTGTGGGTCACATTTATCAAATGTCTTTGCGAAGTCTGTGTTTACCACTTCTGTATTCTGTTCTTCTAATGCATCAGTGATTTTGTCACAGCGGTCAAGTAACTGTACAAGGCATGATCTTCCCGCTCTAAATCCACGCTGGCCCGAGTTCTGAAGATTATTCTCCATAAAACTTTAGATCTAACTCGTGATCACCTTCAAACTTTGATGTGGGACGATTGTGCAACTGGTCTATAAATTTTTCCCAATGATTTACCCCTTCCCTTGTGTAGGGGACCAATATCTGCCAATTTAATTAAGCGCTTCTGGGATCTCCCATGTGCCAAAGGTACGTCTGATACCATACTACTTGTGAAGGAGGAAATGTATGTTTACCTCTCAGAATGTTTGGTAATATGTTTATTTGTGATGTGTGTCTATGTATATATTAACACGTTGTACTGAATGGGGTGAGAATAGCTTGAGCTACCTCATCCCTTTGTGTGTATTTTACCTCAATAAACTTATTTCAATTTCAAATGTGCCAAAGCTTTTTCTCCACACTACACTGAGTTCCTTGTGCTACTGGCACTTTGTATTTGTTTATAAAACATTCAGCTCCAAGAGTCTGGGCCCCGGGGTTGATTGCATGAGCGTCTTGTCAATTTGTCAAAATCTGCAGAGTTCGTGTTGATATTCGATATACTGGTTGGGTTTGGATATCATTCATAAAGAAGATATCCGGATCTTCCACTTGCATGCTGTTTATTGGGGAAGGCGGGGTGTAAAATATATCCTCGTACTGATTTTTTAGGATTTCACTAATTTCATTATCGTCTTGTGTATGAGCCTTCACTTGTAAGTATTGGTCCAAAACTGGCAGGGATTTTTTTTTATTTCGATTTCGTATAGATGACGAAATATTTTATTATTCTTTTGTTCTAATATTGCACTTCTTCAATCTGATACGACCTGCTTCATTCCTTGTTCTATTTCTTTAATCTCCGTTTAAATTATTCTTTCTTTATAGGAATAATCATGCACGCTTTAAGCATATCACTTTTTATTCCTTCTTCTGTAGTGTCGTCTGCATTCTCTTAAGTTGGTCCTTTTCTGACTTAACGCCAAAAAAACTAATAAATAAAAGTTTCAAACGGACTTTGAATGCTTCGGCAGTTATTTGTTCTATTAAACCAACAACATAGCGAGCCTCACCCTCCCCCTCCTAACACCCCCCCCCCCCACACCCTTTCCAAGCAAGAGTACAAAAAATACCCCAACAGCAGCAGTACGGCGGTGTACCTTACGGGCTCACCATAGCCTGTGCTACATGGACACTTCGTTCTGAGTAGCTAAATCTGAAACAACAACAATTAGTAATTCCAACTCGCCAGCAGGCACCGCTCCTGTGCCCGGGTAAGTCCACTACGGGCTCACCATAGCCCGTGCTACTTTGGGACTTTTGTTCCCACAGTAGCTGTGGGAACATCTGTGGGAAGTGGGAATCTGTAGCTGTGGGAATGTAAAACAAACAGTAATTCACTTACCTAGCCAGCGGGTTGATGAATGGATGGATAGGCAGCTCCCAGTGGGTCTTTGCTCCTTTGCAGCAGTGGATGATAAGGTTATGTCCACCAACGTCTCCCTCCACACCTCTCTCTCTCAGCCACACCAAGTCAACTTTCTCTCTCGTGGTCTGCCTACACGACTCGCTTTCTATTTTAAGCGTTCAAAACTCCCCTTTTCTCTGGGTATATTAAATATTTAATTTACGTATTAACTTACACTTTCACTATACTGTTTATTTATTTTCCTTGTTAACGGCAAATGCCTGTAAAGGGAAGAATATTAGAATTAAAAAAAAATATATACACGAATTTGCAAATATTACTGATAATAGTAAACAATATAATGATAAATACAATTTTAACGGGCTAACAGACACGAAAATTTCAAATCGCGGAATAAAAACTTTATAAAATTTTGAATTACCAGCCCGTGGTGGTGGTGGTGTTTGGCGCGGAAACATTTATTTATTTATATACAAGAAGGTAAATTGGGATTGTGAGGATACATAGCATAGTAATAACATTCTTGTAAAGTCACTAGTACGCGCAGCGTTTCGGGCAGATACGATACGATACAAGGTATGCATGAGCCAAAACAACGAACATCACTAATGGAATAAAGACACACACACACGTACGTGAGACAATCCACTAGGGCTATGAGGCGGGAGGGAATCTTTGTCTCCAGCATTGTCAGTCGCTATGACCAGAATAAATGTTGTTTTCTAGATTCAGAATTAATATTTTGTCTGAACCAGACAGGATAAACTGGGAATAAATATCGGAGGCCGTACAGTGGACAGTCGAATCCACGCCCGTCAACTTCTCCAGCACGCACGCACGCACACGCACGCACACGCACGCGCACACGCACGCACACACGCCCGCGCACACACACACACACACACACACACACCAATCTGTCCTCGCGAATAATACATTGCATTTTGATTTACAAAATCGCTACCAGACAACACATGATGTACTACAAATCACAGTGGTTCACATTCACGTTTTCCGTGAGTGGGGACGCTCGATTTGGGTGTTTTAGTATACCATTTTCTGTCCGTTGTGGCACGTAAAGAGGCACTGCAGGCACTATAAGATTGGACCGTGAGGGGGGGGGGGTGAATGTGTTCCATCACATGAGTTCACTTTCTATTCATAAATTCATCTCTTACTTGTGATTTCACTGTGCATAATATTCAACGTCACAGTGAATAAACGAGACACATTATTAGGTGAAAGAACTAGCGGAGGAAGTCTCCGTTAGCCTTCACCAACTTCAGGTGTATTACAGGAGCCTAAAATGCTATGGAAGCCGTTTTACAAATCGATTGAAGGATGAAAGGCGGGACCCAGGAGATGAACTCTATACCCCCGCCAACATATCTAGGGGTTCAAAACACACGCACGCCCGTCAGCGTGGCACGACACACACTCGCTGGTCGTACCTGCACGACTAGGAGCCATTGTTCCCTGTGGGCTCTAAATACGCTCACTTATATTATGTATATATATATAAATACGTAAAGACATGTGGACATACACGGAGGAATTGTCTCCTGCCACGCGAGCCACGCCGCAACCAGCAAACATGTTTTCTAATTGGAATTTTCCATTGAAGCCTAACACCGTTGGACTTCAATGGAATGATTCACTTCTCATTCAACAGAATGAGGAATGTACTCTAAACATACTTCAGATAAAAACCATCACATGCACGGCTTTCATTTAGTACATTGACGTACAGAAATTCAGATCATTGATTATTTATATTAATATTACCCGAGATTTACCTGAATATACTTATAGCCGAGCCAATACAATCGACCAGATGTGGAAAGCCTTCGTATCACATTTTATACGATACAATTTATCTGATATATTTATATATTTTATGTAGGTTATTTAATCACTGCATATATTACCCGAACATATATAACTTACACACACGTTAGCATTCAATGGTCAATAAATCTTGGTGCGTCACGCACTCGCACCCGGCAAACCACCAAATTTCGATGATGCTAACAGCTGGTGGTCAGGGAATACGTAAATAACGGGCAGGAAAAGCCACAACAATTTCCATGGTTGCATCACTCGTTACCACGAGGCCAATTATACTAGAAATACATCGGCGAGAGACTTTTGTTACGTAACCCCCACGCGCCATGCTCGGAGAGCAGCCTAGCCCCCACATACTGACCTCTCCACCACATTCCGACCTATCCTCCAGCCTAGCCTCCACACTCCGACCTATCCTCCAGCCTAGCCTCCACACATACCGACCTATCCTCCAGCCTAGCCCCCCACACTCCGACCTATCCTCCAGCATAGCCCCCCCCACACTGACCTATCCTCCAGCCTAGCCCCCCCCCCCCACACTCCGACCTATCCTCCAGCTTAGCCATCACACACTGACCTATCCTCCAGCCTAGCCGCCACACACTCCGACCTATCCTCCACACTCCGACTTATCCTCCACACATACCGACCTATCCTCCACACCGACCTATCCTCCAGCCTAGCCCACACTCTCCGACCTATCCTCCTGCTTAGATGGTACTTTTTGTAACTATATACACCATCCTCCATATATTAACGTACTGGACAATTACAGTAGCAGTTGGTACTATTCACTTTATTCAGGAAAAAATAAAAGCTAAACACCCGAACTTAAATATTCCTAGGCCTAATATAGGTCATATATGTACTATAGTAGGCCTCAGCGTGTATTAGGCCCCATGATGGTTGTATAGGTTTGAAATAGCACTTTCTCTGTAAGTAGCTGACATTGTAACTATAAGGTGGGAAGGATAGATGAAATTGTTTATGTAATAATCTAAGATGAGGTATGACAAAAGACCTTTTGTGCCCTCTGTAATGCTTTTTGCGCTACCGCTCACAAGATGAGTATGGGGGTGCACAATAAACTAGCCGCCAAATAAAAAAAATTAATCAGTAACAGATACAAAACCTTTTTCGGTTTGCCTAAATTCAATACTAGTACCAAATTCTACTTTCTAATTGTCTAGTGTCTTTCTAATGTCAATATGTATATACCATAGTGCACACAGTTACTAAAAGTACAATCTAAACAGGAGGATAGGCTGCATACTCAACAAACGAAGCAGCATTCAGCTCCTGGATTGGTATTTGACAACTAAAGCCTATGAAGCTTTCGAGGGTTGATATGGCCACAATACTCGGCTTCAAGTACAGTATGCTCTCATCTTGAACACAATTCAAGTCTAAAGTAAAAGCTTACTTTAAAATGAACTCTAAGCTTAAGAACCATCCGCTTCAGAATATATATTTTATACAGAAGCGGAATATACCGCAACACTGCCAACCTCAAACGGAAGAATCCCGATTAATTGTTGGGGCAACATGTCGTAAACATATGCAACTCTTAAGTTGTTATTTGTGGGAAAGGAAATGGAAGATTTTCAGTTCTATTCTTGGATTTATCTTTTAATTTTCTACAACGGCTGAATACATTATTTTGCTGCCACAGTAACCAATGGGAGACTGCTACCTTAGACTAGTCTACGAGAACACGATTTAAAAATGCTTTCTTGCCTTCAGGGATAATCTGAAAATCCCAATTTATACCATAGTTGATTAACTATAATCGTGAACATTTGACTAAGCCAAGAACAGCAGACTAGTGTTCATCAAGAGCAAACTGTACAATTTAGGTCACCGACCACAATCATTGTTATTATTGCCCAACATTTAAGAGCACGTTAGATAAACTGTCAAAATACAAATACAAATATTTATTCAGGTAAAGTACATACATACAGGGTGAGATACAAAAGTTGATGGATTTATAGAGAGCGCTAGTACATACAATGCCTAAAGCCACTATTACGCAAAGCGTTTCGGGCAGGTTTCGGGTTGTCAATGAATGCATAATTATTACAAATAAGTACGCGTAATTAGGCTTACAACCGGTGCATGTTGAGAAGACCTCCCTCACCCCTGACACACCACAGTGAATACCACCATCCCGGAAACACGATCACGGCACCCGGGAATTATCGTAAAAATGGCGGAAGTGTTCCAATTTGCATAGAGTGACGTGACAGATGTACAAGGCACAATGACTAGCAACCTTTAGGTTCGGCGGCAGAGTCGGAAATGGTGGCGACGAAGTTGTTGTTGCCGTTTTAGATTCAGCTACTCTGAACAAAATTTTCCAAGCAGCACGGGCTACGGTGAACCCGTCTGTACTCGCCCGGGAGGGGACGAATACACTTCCTATTTTTATTATTATTGTTTGTTTATCCTTAGCGACTACCTGTTGCTTAGTCACGACCTGTCATCAACGTACTCTCTTTCAATGGGGGTGTTAGCTACTCTTCGCTAGCCACTGACCATCTTCGAAAGAGGTTAATTATATACTGTATTAATGAAAAAATAGTCTTCACCAAATTTACAAACTTACCGGAATATATTGCGTATTTCTTCACGAATGTTAAAAAGATAATTTAGTTAATAGCGGTCTTGTGTTATCGCTGGCTCATGGCCCCCCTATAACGAGGCAGGCCGATGTGTGAATGTAGCATAAATCTTTCACAACACTGTTTACACACCTTACGACACACTTTGACGCGACAGCTTCGTCATCTATCCACTCGAGAGGAAATAATGAGAGTATATATCGATAGGATATAATAGACAGACGAGGCGTGAACCTTGGTAATGGGAAGGAGTCGATTCACAAGACGTTTCATCCGGATCTTGGATCACAGAGTCATGCCAGCCACCCCGATGCACGCTAGGTTGGGGCGGGGGGGGGGTTTTAATCCCACTGCCTGAGAAAGTGACACAGTCTGACCGAGGCCTGCCACTGCCAACATGGACGTCTCTGCTCTCCACCGTTGACAGCGGCAGCCTTGAGCAGCTGTGGGTAATTTTTTGAGCCTGTCTTTAGAGTAACACTGTGTCCGTACTGGGTGGGGTATGGATGACACATTACATGGGTGATGCCCCAAGCAATATATATTGAAATGTAGGCTATAATCTACATGGTAAATATTAAAACCCGTTACAAATCTACAATTAAAACAAATCTATGCAAGGGGAAAGATATCCACCCTCAGGTTACCTTGGTGTTTTCGGGGCTTAGCGTCCCCGCGGCCCGGTCGTCGACCAGGCCCCCCCACACCAACAAGAGGTAAACCATCTTCCCTACCCCTCTCCCATCTGACTCCTGTTAGCAGGCCGAGAGCTTGTATTGTAAGCCAAGATT